AGTGGAATTACATGAATTCTTTGAAAATCTTCTTCTCTGCTTCTAGGTATTAAACAAACTAACTAAGTGCAAAGTTATGATGAGAATGAGTGCCTCTACCAAAATTGTGAATTTTATGGCCCCAGGGTCAAGGGTTCTGGTGTTGGGGGGGGGGGGCTCTATTGATTATATTGTGAAATAACATGAATTCTTTGAAAATCTTTTTCGCTGCTCCTAGGTATTAAATAAACTAACTAAGTGCATAGTTATGATGAGCAAGAGTGCCTCTACAAAAATTGTGAATTTTATGGCCCCAGGGTCAAGGGTTCTGGTGTTGGGGGGGGGGGGGGGGGGCTCTATTGATTATATAGTGAAATTACATGAATTCTTTGAAAATCTTCTTCTCAACTCCTAGGTATCAAATAAACTAACTAAGTACATAATGATGATAAGCAAGTGTTCCTCAACTAAGATTGTGAATTTTATGGCCCCAGGGTCAAGGGTTCTGGTTTGGGGGGGCTCTATTGATTATATATTGAAAATATGTGAATTCCTTGAAAATCTTCTTCTCTGCTCCTAGGTATTATATAAACTAACTAAGTGCATAGTTATGATGAGCAAGTGTGCCTCAACCAAAATTGTGAATTTAATGGCCCTATCATCAAGGGTTCTGGTGTTGGGGGAGGGGGGCTCTACTGATTATATAGTGAAATTACATGAATTCTTTGAAAATCTTCTCTGCTCCTAGGTATTAAATAAACCAACTAAATGCAAAGTTATGATGAGCAAGAGTGCCTCTACAAAAATTGTGAATTTTATGACCCCCGGGTCAGGGGTTCTGGTGTTAGGGCGGGGCTCTATTGATTATAAAATGAAAATACATTAAATCTTTGAAAATTTTCTTCTCTGTCTCTGGGTATGAAGTAGATGAACTACCTATATAGTTATGATGAGCAAGGGCCCTAATCTTGCAGAATTGTGAATTTCAAGGCCCCAGGGTCAGGGGTGGGGGGCTCTACTTAATATATATTGGAAATGAATTAACTGTTTGAAATCTGGTCTTTTGAATTTATAAAACATTTATTTACTTTTTGATAGGCAATTTTAAGGGTGCCTTTTAAATTTGTGCAACCTAGGTTCATGGGTTTATGTCAGAGTGTTAAGGGCAATACTGATTATTGATGAATATTACTGATTAGTTGGAGTGCATTTTTGTTCCCCTACCCTGCATATGGGTATTCAGTAACCAAGCTAAGCGACTGCTAAGTTTATTGTTATGATGATCAATGGTGCTCTTTCAAAATTGTGAATGCCATATAGCATCTGGCTTAAAACATGTTATTGAATCAAATTCAATACACTGTAACTGGAATGTTGTTGCATAATGCTCAGGTGACCTATAAGGCCCGTGGGCCTCTTGTTTAAAAATCAGCGTCTTTTAAGGTCGCAGTGAGTGCTCATGGACCAAGGTTAAAAAGTAATAAAAGTAAAGTACCTGAATTGAAATGTTTTTCCCCATATAAAACAAGTCAATGTATAATATAAATTATATGCATCATGAAAAAGGAGGGTAAAATCATTTTGGAATATATCAAATATCGATTACAATATAAACAATGAAAATACTAAATAATAACCCCAGGAAAAATATGTAAAAATGACAGTCAACGCGACGTTGGCCATCCAAAAGGACCAACGTCCAATCATAGAGTGGGTTTGAATACGGTTGAAGGAAGTCAAAATAATTTTAAAAACATTTAATAATTATTGGAATTTATTTTGAAATGATGTTTGAAAAATCGAAGAAACTACAAGAAGTGAAAACAGATATTATTAAAGAAAATTGATAGGTCTATCAATGTTTTTGTAATAAATTTAGCGATACGTGGGACAGGGCTGTGCTTTCTATGTATTTGAACTTTCTCTAGATTAAGTGTGTAAATTAACGTGTTTTGTATATTTAGTTTTCAATACTCTATTCAATATATTATATGCATAGACATTATTGCTAGAACTTGGCAATGTGTGACAAAAGACATTGTAGAGGATATGTTAAAATTCAAAATGCACATGTTTGACGCACACGCCTTTTGGATTGCTTTAAACAAAATTGGTGTATAAAATATAAAGGTATTTAACTCATATCATAAGGTACTAACTTTCGACAATAAAATACTTTTAAATCAAAAGATTTTTAACCTTGTTGTAAATCGACAGATCTTACACCTTTTTTTCTATCCATAACTTTACACATTTAAACAGCCTACATAACTTCCAAAGTACATCCCGAAATTCCGTATACTCTTGCATATCATAACCACGTCCTTAATTAGTTTATTTAATAGGAGTAGAGAAGATTTTCAAAAAACAAATGTATTTTCACCGAAATAGGATGTGAACTTTGGGCATTGTTTCTTTTTTTTTCAACTAAATAAACAAAAAAATTCTATGACTGCCCCTTCTAAAACGATGCTACGTCAATGTGGATAACATCTAAATTTAAAATATCATTATTTTAAGAATCCGTTTATCATATAGAAAAAAGAGAATAGGAAATCTGTACCCTGACGGTAATGCATTTGAAATGGACAACAGGACTGATTGTTAATAATTATTTTTTTAATGTTCAATTTTAACATGTGTCTTTCTGAAATTTGTCATTAAAAGATTTTTTTTGGAAAAAAAAGAGATCGAAGGCAATCAATAATTTTCAATTCGCTCTGTCAATAAAAAAAATTTCTATATGAAAAGAATATGGACATAACGAACAGTATACATAACTTAAAGAAGTCCGAGCAATTTTAAAACGTTTTTTTTTTATTTCTTTTATAACAAGATATGTTTGTGAAACACTATGCTCCCGGGGGCAACAGATTTTGAAAACAAGCTATTTTTAGCATATAAGTCATTTGAAAGAAACTCATTAGTGGAGTATGCATACGAAATATGAAGTCTCTTACTTTCACGTTTTAAAAGTTATGGCAAAGGTTTAAGTTTGAAGACAAAAAAGCTATTTTTAGCATATAGGTCATAGACAAGGTCATTGAAATTGGAATCATTGGAACTTAATTAGAATTGTAGGAATACCAAATAATAAGTATCTATCTTTAATGGTAAAAAAGACGGCAAATTAAAAACTTGTAGAAAAAAGCTAATTTTAGCAAATAGATCAAAGTCAAGATCACAGGGTTACAAGAGCTTCATTAGTGGAGTATGCATACCAAATAAAAAATCTCTATCTTTAATGGTTCAAAAGTTACGGCGAAGGTTAAAGTTTGCACACAGACAGGACAAAAGCAATATACGCCCCCAGATCTATCGATCCGGTCGCATAAAAAAACAATTTTAATGATTTCACTTAAGAACATCCTTATATTCTCTAGAACTGAGTTATGTTTTTTATTCATGATTATATTATGAATAATCTTACTTTATTAAAAAAAATTATGTGAGAAATAAACAAATAATTACTTAGAAAAATTGTCCAAATGTCAGAAAAAAAACCAAAATCAAGAAAAATACACACAATTTCTGTTGTTGATATGGGTGTCTTCATTGATAAAATGCTGTTCATATTTTTGTTCTAAGCATCATTTGCGAAATGGTGTTTGTTTATGTGAGATAGTCTTATATACAAGGCTTCATACTAGCTTGTGCTAGTGGGTTAACGTTTTGCTCGATCAATAGAGCGCTGGACAGGCAAATCAAGGGCCCCGATCCAATCCCTAGCAGAGAGACAAAAAAAAATCCTCCGTTACATTTGGCGCAAAAAATGGAAGCAAAGGGTTTCGCGGGTAAAAGTGATTGCCCAAGATTATTGCCCCTAGGGCGTCTGCACACCAAAAGAGATCAGGACATCTCATTCTCGGAAGGAGGACAATATAGTAGCGGTAGATACATGGCTTCCTTTCTAGTTTTGGCTCCAGGGTTAACCATTTAGCTCAATCGATAGAGCAATAGACTAAGTATCGTGTTCAATCCCCAGCAGAGGCAAATAAATGTCTTTGTTACAAAGGTTTAAATTATTGGACTAGTTCACTTATAAGAGAGAGGGGTAAATAAAGCAAGGATGAAAAATAAGAAATTGAAATAAACCAAAAAAAATCAATGTCGAGAATTAAATTAAAGAACAAATTTTGTTTAATTTTATGGAAGTATTTATTACCTTTTTTAAAAATAGAAACATTTTACCAAGGGCACTGCAAAGCGGAGCACCACCTCGCTCAAGGCAGAAATAGACATCGATCCCGATGCTAATTATGACCGTTTGCACAAAAATAAAGCTAATCAGTTTGAACAAAATTTATCTGGATAGCTGTCAGGCTTTAGTTTTGCACAATGGTAATTATTAACGTCTTTAACCTGCCTAAAACTCATGATGTCAGGTTACTATAAATTTATTTTAATATTTATTCGGGATCACATTAATATTGTGATTGTATGTTGTTTTCAGAGCTATGCTACCTATACCATGCATGCTATGCTCAAAATATCTATTGAGCTCAAAATTAATATTAAATTCAGTTTGCAATTAAAATTAAGTTGAAATAGATAAAAGAATTTTAATCTTTTAGAAAAAGCAAAATAATGTTATGTGCAACATATGTTAAAATTAAAGTAAAGATCTGCAAGTACATGAAACTTTACAAAACGATTGAATTAAAGTTAACAGATATGTATAATGAAAGAATTTCGCAAAGTGGGGATTTAAATGGCCTGTTAATACGTTTAGATAAGCGATTCTATAATTCTATCATGAATATTGAATACGTAGCAAATGAAACTAATCCTCCAAGAAATGTCCCATTTCGTTTGTTGTAAATTAAACGATCAATATTTTAAACGTACTTCGTCAGAATATTTCAAGAGTTTTAAAATAATATATGTTTTAGAACTGCAAAAAATATCAGTCTTCTAAAGTGACGCGGCTTAGTTTAGTTGACAGGTTTATCTAATCCTAAAAATACCAGTCTTTTAAAGTGATCCCTTAAGTTCAGTTGACACGTACATCTATTGATAAAATGAGAATTTTCTGCAATCTTTTCCTGATAGCAGTCTCACTACAAGCGGTGGCTGCATTGTCACGTCGGTATTTAGAAGATGTAAATTTTGAAGGAAAAAAGTCAGACGGTGGATCTCTAGTAGAATACAATGACTCCTCCCTGGCCTTCTGTTCTGCTATGTGTGACGTCACTTGTGGCTGCTTCGGGTTTAACTTGAGAGAAAAAAAGTGCCGAATTCACCATTCGTTTGACCAGTCTAACATAACACTAGCGGAAGCCGGGTGGAAACATTTCTTTCCAGAAGGTTAATACTGAGTTTTATTGTTAAAATTTTATCATTTTTTTTAATTTGCATTAATACCTGATGAAGTTTTTTGTAGTATTAAGTTTTTACGAAAAAAACTATTTATACATACACACTTTAACAGCTCTTCCGGTAGACAAAGTTAATGCAAGCTATCCTATGGACTGCCGGAATATATACGTTACTGGACACACACAGTCTGGTGTCTACAAAATTCATCCTTTTGAGAATGACAAGTCACGAGGTGTCAATGTGTTGTGTTATATGGAGAATTGTGGTAGATGGTGGACGGTAAGATCTCTCTCTCTCTCTCTTTCTCTCTACACACACACCAACAAGTTATAATACAGTTGATGAAACAAGAATATCCGCAGTCTCCTATTGTTAAATAGACTTCTGTGCTTGAATATAGTTCATTTTTTCCTTTACATTTTATTCAAATAATTTCAGAATGCTTTAGAAACAGTTTATAGGCATTTCTCTTGGAATATTTGATCACTTTTAAAATGTCTCCGAAACGTAACAAAACAAAAGAGATGCTTAAATGTAAACATTTGAAAAATTTCTTCCTGAAGTGATTTTTTGTCAGTTGTAATTCATATTTTTGTGTTTCCTGTGTAGGTGATCCAAAAACGTATCAGCGGATCTGTCAGTTTTATAAGAACATGGGTGGAATACCAAAATGGATTCGGGAATCTGGATGACTCCTTCTGGATTGGTATAAGTTTATTTCTTATTTGACTATATATCTTTACAAATGCAAATATTTCTCACAAAATGTTTTTTTTTTATGTGTTGTCATCAGTTCCGATAAAAATTAGATTTCAGTCAGCTTATGTATCCAAATTGACGCCTTTCATGTCATTAATATTAAGCTCACCTGAGCCAAAGGCTCATAAAATTTTCTCCATTGGCAGCTTTGGAAGACGTTTTTGAGTCGCTTTTCTGTTTCGGCATATCTGATTGGTTATATATTTAAACTTATTACAAATAACCAATCAGATAAGGCGAAACAGAAGTGTGAGTTCATAACCTCCTCCTAAGCTGTCAATGGAGAAAATTTTATGTATCGGATTAATAAATAGTCCGGTTATGGTATATCAAACGCTAATAGCGGGGTTTAGCGTAAGGACAGATGATACAAGCAATTTTTTTTCTTTGAAAAAGATATGACATCATGTCACATTTAGAAAAGTGGATGGTTCTTAGAATTTCTTCTCCAAAGAACTGGAAAATGAAATAGACTTGAAAAATATTAGTAATATTTCAATAACAAGAGGCCCAGGGGCCACATCGCTCACCTGAGCAATTGGCTAGAAAAAATCACATATCAGATCAGAACTGAAAGTTAACTGAGGGCGGGGAGGGGGGGGGGGCTTGAATTTTAACCCCCCAGGGGGTCATGATTAGAACAAACTAGAATCTATAATACCTGAGGATGATTCCCTATAAATATCACTAAGCATGGCTTTGAAGTACTTAAAAAGAAGGTTTTAAAAGGTTTCCCTATATATTCCTATTTAAAACTTTTATCGGCCATTTTGGCCTCACCCTACCCCCGGGGGGTCATGATTTGAACAAACTTGAATCTTCACTACCTGAAGATGATTTCACATGGGTTTCATCTTTCCTGTCTCAATGGTTCTTGAAAAGAAGATTTTTAAAGATTTTTCCTATGTCTTCCTATGTAAGCTTTGATCGGCCATTTTGGCCCCACCCTGAACCCGGGGGTCATGATTTGATCAAAATTGAATCTACACTACCTGGGGATGATTCCACATGAATTTCATCTTTCCTGGGCAATCCTGGCCCAGTGGTTCTTGAGAAGAAGATTTTTAAAGATTTTTCATATATATTTCTATGTAAAACTTCGATCGGCCATTTTGGCTTCTCCCTATCCGTAGGGGTCATGAGTTTAACAAACTTGAATCTACACTACCTGAAGATGATTCCATAAGAGTTTCATTTTTCCTGGCCCAGTGGTTCTTGAGAAGAAGATTTTTTAAAAATGCCATTAATTTTTCTCTAATTCATAATTATCTCCCCTTGGAAAAGGGTGTGGCCCTTCATTTGAACAAATGTGAATCCCCTTTACCCAAGGATACTTTGTAGCAAGTTTGGTTGAAATTGGCCGAGTGGTTCTTGAGAAGAAGATGAAAATGTGAAAAGTTTACAACCAGAACAACAACAACAACTACGACGACAACGACAGACAACGGACAAATTTTGATCAGAAAAGCTCACTTGAGCCTTTGGCTCAGGTGAGCTAACAAACAAATATAGACAAATCACATTCAGTAAAGGTTTACAGGTGAAAAAAAAATTCAGAATATGTTAACATGGTGCTGAAAGTGTAATATAAACTTAAGAAAAATATACCAAGCCAGGTAAATTTTAAGAGGAAGATCAAAATGACAAAATATTAGCAATATCACATAGGCTGATTTTTACCATTAAGCTTTCCCTAATAAAATTCATCTGACATGATATTAAATCCTTTTCTAAGAAAAAAATTGTTTTTGTCATCTGTACTTAAAGAGACTCCACGACGGAGGGCTTGCAAATTTATGATAATTAACACTGTTTTACCTTGGTAATCTTTCTAGAAGCAGGGGTCTTCCCGTTTGTTTACAACTCTTGTTTCTTACCTTGTGTATGTTTGTTAAACCGAATAAGGCCATTTTTTAAACGTGAGAAAAAGTACAATCTGCTTGCATTAAACGACATATAAGTGTGTTTGACGAGGAAATTATATATTTTTGAGATATTATACTCTCTTACATTTTTGTTCATTTTAAAAGGAGTGGGGGTGGGTAGGGGGGTTTAATTATCCACACTTCAGGTGCCTGTGGTAAAACAACAGATCCAAAGATACTCAGCATGTGGACTATGGGCCATTTGCATTAATCAGTTCTGGATAATATTTATTTTATTTTAATTTTTTTGTATGTCTTAAATATATTCAATTAAATGTTATAGGAAATGAGGTTATTCATCAACTTACATGGGGAAGGAACTGCGCTCTCTTCGTCTCTATCACTTTAAAAGATGGCAGTGTGTTATACCAATATTACGATCAGTTCTCAGTTTCTGATGAGTCGGACAACTACAGACTCTTTGTTGGAGGACCAACTGCCGGAACCTTGGGTAAGTGAGTGGGGGGAGCTGGTAAAAATTAAACAAACGGCGGGTGTAACAGGTCGGTAGGGGATGCTTACTACTCAATGGTAGGTGATCCCACCTCCGATGTTTTGTAGATCCGTGTTTGCTCTGCTCGTACATTTATTTTGTAATAATAAACTTTCATGTAAATTGTTGAAATCTAATTGGTCGAGAAATATTTGTTAAAAAAACACTATTACCCGCTGAATGATGACTTCACGCCCTTAAGCGTAACAACAGTCAACAGTGCTTGACGACGGGTGATATTCCAAAAAATAGCGACTGCGCAGAATTTATGCGCGCAAGGTTCACTGTTACATGTATTTGTATAAAACATTCCGTATTATATAATAAATATTGTATGTAGTTGAGTGTTTCAATGAAAATTAACACCCCTCGAAAACCATTGTCAACTTAGGCTGCGCCTCGCTGTTTTCTTTTGGTGAAAATTTTCACTGTTACACTCAACTACATGCAATATTTATTATATACGTAATTTTCCGGTAAAATTGTGGACAAAGCGCTTTTCTCGATAAATAATGGGCGCACTAAGCTGAAATATTATTTGGAAAAGTTTATTTGTCAAATTTATATGCATCGTAAGTTTTGGTAAAATCTAAACAAAAATAAAGATTTTTTTAAGCTTGAATGTGCACTGGGTACAGTCCTACGGCGCAAAGTAAAAAAAAAACAAAACAAGGTTTTATTAAAGAATACAAGAATATTCATTCAAATACAGGGTAAAAATTACGTCAATTCGTTTCCATAATAAATTTTATCGTCTTTTTGAAATATTCAAGGCATTTGGTTAAATTTGGACAGTTCCCGAGCATTCGAAATGAGAAAGTGATGAATACATCCCACGTAAAATGGCGCACCGGAGAGCAGTTCAGTTTGATTTAGATTTAGATGTTGTAATGACACCTTTAGAGACTTTAAATGAATATAACAGAAAGAAATTTTACAAAATCACCAGATCTTTAGTATTGAAATGAAATTGGATTTTTCTTAACGAATTCATTTTTGATTGAGTCCCCAAGTTGTACAAAACATACAGACAAACTGTTATTGTAATAGCAAAAGACGCTGTCATTTGCGACCCTCCAAATAGGATTGTCTATTCAGTTGAAAGATGGTGAGAATATTGTCCGTAACTTACTGAAAAAATCTTCAGTAGATCGCATATATGTGCCAGATTTGTTCCTGAACTGTTTATGGAGACTAAAGTATGTACATTCCTATATTGTAGAAGTACTCGTCCAACTTTATTTTTAGCAAAGATGAAACGTGTCGCTGATTTAGACACTTTGATGTTATCATCCGGGCGCCGTTTGGCGATACAACACGTAATATAAAACGTTATTATTTGTTTATTTATGCACATAACTCTTTGAAATTCGCTATGTATATTCATAAAATATGTTCTAAAGAGTAGTAAAAAACTCAGAACGTAGTGGTGATTATTTTTTACACTAGACAACTTGTCCACGTTTTTACCTGACAACCCTCGTATATATTGTTTTCTTGGCAATTGATCTTGCATTGATACTGTTCGTTATCTCCATATATTTCACATACTAAACGTTCTTATAGCCCTTTTAAAATTTAATACTGTGTCCTGTCTATGAAAGGAAAGGTTAAAGTATGCTCTGTGTTTAAATCTTACGTACATAGGAAAAATCTATGCACTTTATTAGAAATCTATGTACAGAGTGTATTTTTAGATTTAACTAAAGCTGTTCTCCTTAGTTGTTTTTTTTTTTTTTAAATATTTCTAGATGACGGTTTGACAGTGCTTTCAGGAATGTCCTTCAGTACGCCAGATAGAGACCTGGATATACATTTCCAAAACTGTGCAGATATGTATAAAGGGGGCTGGTGGTTTAGAAAATGTATGAAAAGTTTCCTTAACGGTCCCTGGTCTCCGGCATACTGGGCTAGCCCATGGAGGCCTGTAGTGATGGATGGAAATGACGTAACGGAGACTCTCATGATGATAAAACCACATTAATTTATTTTACTTTATTTTATATGACGTGTCTTTTATAACCAACGGTTACTGGGTGACATTGAATTTAAGGGGACTCTCATGATGACAAAATGATACAAAGTATTTTCTTGGACGTATATGAAGTGTATTTTATAACCAACGGGTACTGGTGACATTGAGTAAAAGGGAACTCTCATGATGATAAAACCGCACCAAGTATTTTACTGGACGTAGGCCTATATGACGTGTCCTTGATAACAACGATTACTAGTGACACTGAATTTAAGGAGATTCTTATGATGCTAAAGCTCCACTAAGCTTGTAACATATTAAATTGTAAATGGCGTGTCTTTGATATCCTATTTTGCTGGTGACAGTAAGAAAATGGAGGTGTTCATGCTGAAAAAAGCTTCATCTTCTTTGTTGCTCCATCTTTGTGACTTATCCTTCGTGACTCGATCACTCTTGTTGTACATAGAAGATTCTAATTATGAGACATTTTCACCTAAACTTTAATGTCATGTAGTCTTTTTTCATATTTAATTATCTTTTTGTTTAATTCTTACCATTTTTTAAAATTTTGTAATTTGGATTACAAAAAAAATATTCTTCATTAAAAATTATTTTTGAAAATACGACAATTTGGATTTTATTGTGCTCAACAACTAATTGACATGGTCAGTGCTCACATGCACGCGCGTACGTACACGAGTGTTTGTTTTTATGTTGTTTAACGTCGCTCTCGATAATTTGTACTTATACAGAGACACAACCATTTACCAGTGGAAAGCTGCAATGCTTTTACTATACTCGGCCCAAGGGCCATTAAGTAGTGATGGATATTGTTCGTGGAAACATCATCTGCGACACATGACCTCGGTCTCATCCAATGGACCAGCCGGCGTACACAAAGGTGCATGTAATAAATAAAATGACATACTTACTTGGCATAGATTTAAATTGAATACTTTTTGATTAAATACTTTAAAATTAACAAAAGGTCCACGGGTCTGATAGGTTACCTGAGCATCATGTAACAACTTTCCAACATTTGAATTTGGTTTGTATTTTCGTTAGAGGCCACGGCATTCACAATTTTGAAAGCTCTTCATGACTATACACTGTGCATGCTGAGTACGGTTACTTAAGGATTTAAATGTATAACAGGGCACTTCCGGTAAAAATGACGGCATTTGCCGATGTCGCAACACTGTTTCTGTCGAAGAGTTATCGGCCGTCGTAAACAAGCATGGCTCTTCGTCACACGGTTTGATAGACGCTGGCATTATACATTTCATCAGAGCAGAGAAAAAAACTTAACAGAGTAAAGAACAAATGTTAAATTGATAGAAAACCATGATACAGTAGTTTTGTTAGACAAATTGCTGCATAAACATTCTTTTCAAATTAAAATACATACTTGGGGTTTTCCAAGTTCTAAAAATAGTACACATCTTTCGATGTGTAAAGAAAATGAGGCAAGTTTTTATTTCTTTGAACTATATAATTTATTAACAGACTTTTGTTATTTCTATTCGTTTTTCAGTGAACACAGTAAAGAAACATGTACATAATGTAGAAGTTTGCATCTATAATCATGCTAATTCGCTAATCTAGACCGCGGTTACAGCTATAGACCGGTGCATTTGTACATTCGTTTGCATACAAAAAAATCCCTGCAATTAAAAAATTTCCCAAGTTTTCTCTGATGAAAAAAAATCCTTTTCTGTGTGAAACCATGGATATAACAGATGTTTCTTGTAGTATCATTACAAGATTGTGTACTAGTTAATTTAAGGATGTGAATTCAAAAAAAAAAAATCTTCCTGGCTCTAAATTAAAGGTTCATAAAATAACCGTATTACAGAGAGGAAATAAATTTAAAAAGAATAAAACATTAAGGACTAAATTATTTCTATAATTATTCTTTTAAATAAAAATAGGGAAAAACACATTTGGTTTTTGAATCTATAGGTATTTATTTTATAGAAAAAGAAATCGATGGGGAGGGGGTTATATCATAATAAATATTTATATTAAGTTGATTTTACTTACATGATTTTTGCAATTCCCTGTACATATGAGGAAAAAAATATTATATTTTTTCAGCTAACATAATAACAAGATTACATGTACATTTTTGTATCTCCCAGAATTGTTCTTGTATAAATACGTTTTTTTTCAAGGTTAAAAGGTCAAGGACATTGTTAAAAATGACATAAGACTTATTTATTTATGTTGCTTTATACTCTTATCAATATATAAGTATGGCGTAATCATACTAATGGTGTTGAGAATAAAAAAAAATTATTTGTGTATCAGCAAACGGATACTAAAATTGGGGGTAGGGGTAGTAAATGCTTAATTATTCCAAAATATTCTGGTAAAAAATATTTTATGTATTTTATTTTTGTACAATATTAATTAAAGTCATTTTCTGTGAAAGTAATTTTTAACCCACTCTTTTCTTTTTTTAATTAAAAAAAATTAGAATTAATTGTTTTTTATAAGAATTCACACTTAACACTGAGTAACGTATTTTAATCTGGAAATTTTACTAGTTAATTGTATATTTTGAAAAAAAAATCTTTTATTATAAAGCATCTATGTTATTTTTGTTCATCTAAAGTAAAACTACAGTCTGAAAGTGAGTTTATTTCACAGAATTCTTCTGGTATAACACACCCTTCACTGTTAAAAACAGCAGGGGTATGATTTGAAAATCCTAATTTTTTCAAATATGTCTGGACAAAACTTTATGTAACTTTGGAATTTAAGCCTCCAAACACTAAAGATGAGAAAGTATCAAATAAAATTTCATTCTTCAACAATGCTTCTTATACATCTAATACCTTAATACCCATAGACAGAGTAGGGATACAAAAACACAATATAATTAATCGATAGTAATCAGCCATAATCAATAAATTCCCCACCAAACAGAAACCTCTGAACCTGGAGCTACGCATTACACAAGTTTTTAAAGGGAACCATTGTTCAATATAAATATTTAATACCAAAGCGCAGATTTCAAAGCATCAGTTGTTTTCTATACATAATCATAAGAGTTCATTAGTGTATCCCTTACCGAGGGGCTTTAAAATTCACAATTATAGAAGAAGGGACCTTACTCATCATAACTAGTTCATCTGCTTTATAAGAAGCAGAGGAGAAGATTTTCAAATAATTCATTAATTCATTTCACTTTATAATCAATTAAGCCCCATCCTAACACCAGAACCCTTGACCAAGGGGCCTTGAAATTCACAATTTTGGAACAAACTTTCTTTCTCATCATTACATGTAATATGTACTTGCGTTGTTTATTTAAGAGCAAGATTTTCAAAGGGTTTATGCTTTTTCACTATACGTAGTCTTGCCCTAACACCAGAATCCTGTTCACTATAAATGCAATCAGGTCTTACTACCGGGTACTCAATTCATACAAACTATACATACATGTACTTGACAAGGAACCACTATTATAATAATGTTTTGCATTGAACAATCTTTTAAAATCATTTACAACATCAGGGCATCTATTATTTCTAACCTGTAAATATACTTATAAACAAATGACTAGATGGTAACATCACAACATCATTTCTGACTAGTAATAAACAACTTTCAATCGGGAAATTACACGGTTGCATATTTCACAAAACATAGAATAATCATTCACTTGTGACATAAGTACCTAGTCTAATATGAATGCAAGTCAAAAATATCATTACTCACATATATCAGACAAAAGGCGTTTAGTAACACGGCTGACGCCAACTTCTTCACTGGTCAATATCTACTGTGAAAATACCGCCAAAAGATGGCGTACTGTACATTCGGTAAATTGACCAATCAATGGACAGATCCACAGGTGTAAAAAATAAATTATAAATATTACTTACAGCCAAATACTTACGTTATTTCAGTTATTCAAAAAGGATATAAAAATAATTTTCCTTTTCATAATTTGTAAAATTTATAAAAATTTCAATCTGAATCTCGAACCCGATGCAAAATATACTTCGCCCTCTTACACATCCCCCCCTCTTTGTCATTGCTTTCCACAGCAATTAAAAAGTTTTTTTTTTAATTTCTATCACAACATTCAGGTATACACACAATTATACACAATCATGGACCATTTAACTGGATCCGGAAAATCAGAAGTGAAACTTCGACCTCACACAGAGAGAAAAACAAGGAAACAAATTCCCGACATTTTAGCCATGTAATTCACAATTTTTGAAGAGACATTCTTTTTCTTGATAACTACATAAATATACATTAAACATTTTTGTTTAATACTCAAGAGAGAAAATAAGATTTTTAAAGAAATAAAGGACTTTCACTATATAACCGTTATGGCCCGTCCCTAGCATCAGAACTCCTGACCTTGATACCATGAATTTCATAATTTTGGTAGAAGACTCAATGCTTATTACAACCGTGCCAACAGTTTGACAGCTTGATATCCTGGTGTTAAAGAGATTTTAAAAGATTGCATTGATCGTAGTAGCAAACGTCCCATCCCTCAGGCTCCATGGTGGTGGTTTAGGCCCCACTCTTCAGGCCTCAGGGGGACAGGGAAATTCACCATTTTTATGTAACGCACCACCTATAGATGCTTTATCATAAATTGAGTGAAAATGGTTACCTGGTTTCAAAGAAGAAGCTGAAAATGTTCAAATATTAGCACACGGCGGACGTCGAACGCCGACGGACTAAAACGGATAGTATTAGGTCACCTGAGTGACTCAGGTGACGTAATAATGTAAAAATATCTTTAGAGTTTAGATTCGATAATATGGTTAGCTACCCGCACATGCACGTGATATTATTGAAATAATTTATGGAATTGATTTAAGAAGTAACGCATCCATGAAAACGTTTTCCGTTCAAATATTTGTTTTGATACGTCGATCAAAGGGAGAATATTACATTCAATTCTTATCATTTATTTATGATTTTAAATTAATGAAATAGAATTTTCTTTCACTTTACTATTAAATTTACGCATC